GGAGAGGAGAGGAGAGGAGAGGAGAGGAGAGGAGAGGAGAGGAAGAAGGGAGGGAGGGATTCATCAGGAAATATTCCAAATTTCTCATTCCTGGGGCTCCCCAAGCAGAACTGAGGGATGGAGGAATTGGAGTAAATTCACGAGCAGTGCAAAAAATAGAAGTGGCACTTCTCAGTCATTTCATTATTATTGAAAAATTACCTTTAAATGCTTTAATAGTATGAATTGAAAGCCTTCCTTTGGAAAATACAGATTTAATGTTAGAATCCCACCTATCATTTGCAAAAAAAAGACAAAAACCAGTTAAGTGTGAAAGATTCATGTTAAGGTTATGATTAATGCCTCTTTGCTATAAAATGTTAACATTTCTATGTTATTCTTTCCTCTTTCTAATCTGCTTTTGACATTTATTGGCAGTATCCCCTGAAATCTGTTTATATTGATTTATGATTAATATTTTATAGTTAATTCCAATAAAAATTTTAATGGTCGTAAATTTGATTCTCCCCTGCAATGTGTTCAACAGCTCTTTCCCTCCTTTGGGAATGTTTAATTATTTCTTGTGGTGATTAAGCAGAAATAATACCTGAGGAACATGAGGGTTCCATGAAGGTTAAAGTAACAAAGATATGGGAAGAGATTAAAAAGCCCCAGTCATGCAGCTGGATGAGCTGACTGGCTTTTCACAACTGCTTTTCTCTCCTTTGCAGAAGCTGATGCTTCATCCTGAATATTATTAATTAACCAGCAATCCCTGGACTGCAATAATCCCAGTGTTTAGTCCAAAGAGTGTCTGTAATCTGCCTGTCATCCCGGCTGTACCTGCCATTGGCCCAGGGCTTTGCAAACACACCTGAGAACTGATAACAGCAGCTCATAAAGCCCAGGCTTGATGTTGAACTTCACAGCCTGCAGCAGCAGATGAAGGAGCTGCAGGAAATTTAAGGTAAGGCTTTCATTTTATTGCTTCCAAGGTTCTTCTGGACAGCTTTGCCTCCCTGGTGAATGCTCGTCGCACAGCAGAACTTAGATTTATAAATTATAAGGATTTATTTCCAATGGTTTCGGGTTTGGAGGGAGACCAGGAGAAGAAAGAACTGAAATTCAGTGAAATGTGAGGCTTTGATGACAAGAACTTGATTAAAATCCTACTTTTCAGAAAGACAAACATTAGGTTTTTAAAGTTTTAGCATGATATCTAGGGCAAGACAGCAAGAGAGGATTTTGGGTTGTGATGGAGGAAGGGTGGTGGGTTAAAAATGGCAGCAGGAGCACACAACAATTTAAACTGTTATTTCACACACAAAATAGTTCATTCTGAAGTATTTTTCACTCCTTTGGGTCATCACTAAAGCATGTAAAAGTGTTCTGATGTTCAATGCACATGTGCTCCCACACCTCCTTAACTTCAAAGAACCAATTTCTCTGTATTTGAGGTGGTTCTATGAGGTTAAATGCTTTTTACCAAAAGTTAAATGCATTGGTAGCTGCCAGTGTGTATTGATCCAGCTGCTGACATTAGTTTTAATTAGTTTTATTTCATTTTAATTAGCTTTAATCAGTTTGATTGCTGATGCACAGCTCAGTGTTGATGGGTCTGGGTTGTCCTCTGAGCCAGCAGTGTGCTTTTCTTACCAGAAGAATACAAAAGGAATTTGGGAAAAACCTTGTGTTTTCCACAGCTTTTTAAGGCACTGACTCCACTGAGTTATTTCCCATATTTCAGTTGTGATTCCAGCAGCAATTTCTGTGCCATGAGCTTGTACACAATCTGTTCTCCCACTGTACAAATAAGCAATTTACCTCTGTCTTGCCTTCCCCACGTGTCCTGGACACAGCCTCAGAGTTTATTCCAGCTTTTCTCAGGTATATTTTTAAAAAATCAAGTCCCACCCTTCTAAAAAAGAATAGACTTGGAGAAAAGAAAGCTTAGAAAAGGGAAAAAAGAGAAGAAGATTTTCTTAGTTTTCTGTTTCAGGAGTTTTAGTAACCTGTGGGAAAGCCCATGGTTAATCTCAGGAGTGAATTGTTCTGTGTTAAGTGATTTGCAGGGTGAAAAATACATTCCCTCAGTGTAATAATTTAATAATCTGCACTGGGTGAATTATCATGAAGTGGAGATTTATGGCACGTAGTCTTTAAGGAGAGTTTTATTTAAGCCTTGGGATTAGGTGATACGGCTTAAAACCAGAATAATTTGTAAATGTTGCTAATTTAAGAAATTGGAAATGTAATTTGTAGCTGTTCCTTGTGTTTTACTTTGGCTGATGGAGTTTCTCTGGGTTCCTAGATGGGCAGGAAGTTCAGTGGGCTGGAGCTCACGCTGATTGTCCTCTTCTCCGTGGTGACTGTCATCGCCTGTGTCCTCATTGGGCTGCTGGCCACGGGACAGCCCGGAGTGAAATCTCCAGGTAAGTGCTGGAGGAGCAGAAACCCCGAGTGCAGTCTGCTCAGCTCTGCCTCAGGGCTCCTCTTCTTATTACCCAAATGCTCTTTTCATCATGAAACACCGAAAAAACCTCTCTAACTCGTTCAAATTAGAAAGTGATATGTTTATTGTGACACTGGGCAGCACCCTCCCAAAAATGTGTGTGAAATCCACAAAGCTCTTGCCCTCTTTTATCTACAAAAATCTTCAATGTTCAGGGAAATGATTACCTGTACCTGTGCATTTCCTAACCCTGCCTCATATTCAAATGAGCTCAAAGTCCTCCTGCACAGTTCTTCTTTCCAATTGAGTCGGTGGGTCTTGAAATGGGGCAGTGGTCTCCTGAGATGAAGTCAGGAACTCTTCCTCATGTTAAACTCTTCACCTTTGCCTTGTTGGCAGCCTCTTTAGTCCCTTGGCCATAATCCAGGCCTCCCTATCCTGGTTCTGGGCCCAGGTGCAGTTCTGATTTCTTCATCCTCACAGTGGCTCGTCTTCCTCGTCTCCTTCCATCAACACAACCAAGTCAAGCAAGTCATTTATTGCCTTAGCTCTGTTGGCTCCATCTATTAATCCTATTTAATAATTAAATGATCCTTAATATATATATTATGATAATTAAATTAATCCTTTGCACAGCCCCTCTTTATCAAAATATATTGCCTCTGCCTCTCTAGCTGCATTCTCAGGATCTGAGTTCATTTAACCCTTTGGTTCTGTTATCCAGAGGTGGATTGTGGCCAGTCCTTGCTGTGGATAAAGTTACCAGTTAGGAATGCAATAAATGGCCTGAGTCAGGGTTTATTGTCGTGGAAAATCTCTTCTCTCTTCCTCCACTGATTGGACTTTCTTTAGGAACATAGACCTCAGATAATTTCAAATTCTTTTTTGAGTATAAAATAAGATAACACCGGAAATAAAAAAAAATTTCTCTGATCCCCATGTGGGAGAGGCCAAATTGTGTGGAATATTACTGTAATCCAAAAATCCCACAGTATTTCTTGCTAATGCACTGGGAAATCAGGAAACCCTTGTGCTCCAGGGATGTGATGCAGAGCACCTGCTTCACTTCCAGTCCCATTTTCTGTAATTCCATTCCCACACAGGGACTGAAGCAAAAAACTCGGAGGTGAAAAGGGCAGAAAAATAAAAATTATTGTTTTTACAAGGCAAACACCTCAGTGCTTTAGCAAAACTGCCCATCCAGACTAATATCTGCATATCTTTTTCCTGTTTCTGTCAAGAGCAGGTGTTTCCCTGAGCAAAAAGCACAAGTGCAGATGATGCAAAGAGGCAAATCTGGGGGAGTGTGTCCATCTCAGCCCAGGGCAGCTCCCTGCACTCCACAGTTCCACACATAAACAATGTTCCCAAACACATAAAGCAATCCTCACTGTTCTCTTTAATCTGCTAAAGCTGCTCACCTTAAACTCAGTCCCACAAACCTGAAATCTAAAGGCATTTTAATGGAGCTCTGAGGTGTTTCCAGCTCCTGTGTAAAACTCTCCTCAGGGGAGGGAGCACCCTGACAGCCCAGCCTGAGAAAAGTTCCTCCAGTTTTTAATTTTGCACATATTTTCAATGAAGGGGAGCACATTGACCCACAGGAGTGCCTGGGGAGTGGACTAATGAAATAAAATTATCAAAATTACCTGTATGCTCAAAACTTCACAGTGAAGTTTTCATATCTGAAATAACTGTGTGCCACTTTCCAAAGGTAAAAATGAATCACAGAAGCAACTGTTGATGGTGATTTGAATCAGCAGAAGCAGGTGCTGAGTTCAGAGGGAATGAAGCTGTCCCCACAGTTTAGAAATGCTGGTTCTAACCCATTTCTTTATTTCCCTGACAGACTTTTACCCACAATGTCAGAAGATTCCAATAGCTGAGAGAATTGACTGCATCCCGGATCAATTGGCAACAAAGGTCTGGTAACATTCTGGAAAATATTAGAAAATAGATTTCATCCCATAAAACCTCCTGCTTATTTATTAAAATGTAATTTGTCTCTACTAGATCAGGTATTTCCTTTACCAGTTTAAATCTGTGCTTGCCCCAGCGTTTTCAGGGGAGCTCAACCCCTGCACAGCCATTTCAGTCTGCTGACAGAAAGTCTGATTTCTCTGGTTGGAGGAGAGGTGGCAAAAATATTGGTCAGGCAGTTAAAAGAGCAACTCTTGGTTTTTAACAACATTTTCTGAATGGTTTCATTTGGTGTGATGGTCAAAAACTGATGTTTTTAATAATAATAATTCATATATATAATTGAATATATTAAAAAGTCTATATATATAATACTATATAATATTATATATGTAGAATATATATGATGTATGTCACATTATATATAATTCAATAATAATAATAATTCAGAAACAGTGGGCTTTGCTTGGATGTGCAATTTTACAAGGTACAAGATGTGGTCAGTGTTTCCTTGTACACCCAGTTTGGATCCCAGTGCCTTCCTCTCCTGATTGGGGTGTCTGAAATACCAAAGTATGGAAAAGACTTTTGGCTTGAGAATCTCTGAGTTGAAATTCCCAGTGAAAAGCATCATCTCAGGCTGGATGAGGCTTGGGGCAGCCTGGGATGGTGGAAGGCTCCCTGCCCATGGAAGGAATTGGAATGAGAGGAGCTTTGAGGTCCCTTCCAACCCAAACCCTTCCATGATTTTATGATGCCCTTTATTTTTTCAGAGCTTTCACACTGAGAATCTTTCTGTAATAGTTAGTCTTGTAAGACTATTAATATTAGATTATAATTATAGATTATAATTATTTTATTTATATTATTATACTAATATTTAATTATATTGTTAAATTAATATATTATACAAATATATTATATATTAATATATTATATATTGTATCATATATATTACAATATATATTATATTGTATATATTATATAATATACATTATGTTATTATATAATAATATATATTAATATATTAAATTAATTATTTATAATCATTAATTAATTATAGGTTAGATTAGAATAATATAATAATATAATATATATTATATTATTATATAATAATATATTAAATTAATTATTTATAATCAATTAATTATAGGTTAGAATAATAAAATTAGTATTTTTCATCTTTATTACGGATTTTCTTGTTTTCTGGTGGATGCCTGGTGTCTCTCCTCGATCTGGGGAGGGGCAGCTTAGGAGAAAAATACAACCCAGTGTGATATGGGTTATTTCTGTCATTCACAGAGGTATAAAAATTGTTAACCAGCTGTCTGAACCTTGGACAAAATTCCAGCCTAATTCCAGAGCTGGCTGTTGTCAAAGCCTCTCGTGCCGTGGGTTTTGTTATGATTTGTAGTTCAATAAAGTCCTGCAGGGGGTGGGTTAGGAAAGGTTCAAATCACAGCCTGTTCCTCGAGTCTTCAGGTTCCTTCCCTGCCCCAGGAACAGGCACAGCACTGCAGGAGAGGCCACACAGATCATTTAAATCTGTAAT